AGGATACATCATTGATGCTTTTTTTTTTCTTTAAGATAAATATCGTGTATGTGATATGATGCTTTTTTTCTTTAAGATAAACGTCGTGTATGTGTGCATGTACTTGTGGGCGCATGCGTGGAGATAAACAATCATATTTAGTTCTTTCTTTAATTAATTTAGTATAAAATATTTTAGATATTTTATGTGTAGTGGGGGACACATCATACATAGATGCTTATTTTCTTTAAGATAAACGTCGTATATGTGCGTATGTGCTTGTGGGCACATGCGTGGAGATAGACAAATCATATTTAGTTCTTTCTCTAACTAATTTAGGATAAAATATTCTATATATTTTTTATGTATTAGGGGACACATCACATAGATACTTTTTTTCTTTAAGATAAACATCATGTATATGCGTATGTGCTTGTGGGCACATGCGTGAAGATAGACAATCATATTTAGTTCTTTCTCTAATTAATTTAGGATAAAATATACTAGATGTTTTTTATGTTTTGGGTGACACATCATACATAGATGCTTATTTTCTTTAAGATAAACGTCGTATATGTGCGCATGTGCTTGTGGGCACATGCGTGGAGATAGACTATCATATTTAGTTCTTTCTCTAATTAATTTATGACAAATTATTCTAGATGTTTTTTATGTATTAGGGGACACATCATACATAAATGCTTTTTTTCTTTTAGATAAACGTCGTGTATATGCGTAAGTGCTTGTGGGCACATGCGTGGACATAGACAATCATATTTAGTTCTTTCTCTAATTAATTTAGGATAAAATATTCTAGATGTTTTAATGTATTGGGGGACACATCATACATAGATTCTTTTTTTCTTTAAGATAAACGTCGTGTATGTGCGCATGTGCTTGTGGGCACATGCATGGAGATAGACAATCATATTTAGTTTTTTCTCTAATTAATTTATGACTAAATATTCTAGATGTTTTTTATGTATTGGCGGACACATAATACATAAATGCTTTTTTTCTTTAAGATAAACGTCGCATGTGCTTGTGGGCACATGCGTGAATATAGACAATTATATTTAGTTCTTTCTCTAATTAATTTAGGACTAAATATTCTAGATATTTTTGTGTATTAGGGGACACATCATACATAGATGCTTTTTTTTCTTTAAGATAAACGTCGTGTATGTGCGCATGTGCTTGTGGGCACACGCGTGTAGATAGACACTTATATTTAGTTTCTTTTCTAATTAATTTAGGACTAAATATGATCTTATAATATGATATATTATAGATATTTTTGTAAGATTAACATTATATATATGTGTATAAACATAATTTATGTATTGGAGGACATATGCTTTTTTTCTTTAAGATAAACATCATTAGTGTGTGCTTATGCATATGAGCACACGCATGAAGATAGACAATCATATTTAGTTTTTTTTTAAATTAATTTAGGACTAATTATGCTATTATAATATGATTATATATATATATATATATATATATATA